CCCCTGGTATGTACATAGGACAGATGAACTGCTGCACATTTTCACATCCTATTTTAAAGATTTAAAAAATGGAAGATAATAAATTACCAATTAAAATGGTCTTAAGCTATGCCAGAGGAGATTTAGGTTAAATATTAGGAAGAAATTTTTTACAGAGAGAGTAATCAGACATTGGAATGGGCTGCCCGGGGAGATAGTAGATTCACTGTCCCTAGAGGTTTTTAAGATGAGACCAGATGTGGCACTTAGTGTCATGGTCTAGTAACCACGGCAGTGTTGGATCAAGGGGTTGCACTTGATGATCTAGAAGGTCTTTTCCAACCCGGTTGATTCTGTGATTCTGTGACTACAATATACAACTGAAATACTCCAAAACAGATTTGGTAGAGTCAGGGCTACTTTTTATATAGGGCATTAAGTAGATCCCCCTAGGTGTGTTGAGCGATTGACCATGTCTAGTCTTTAAAAAGACATGGATTAACTCAGCTATACTCTCAGGTGCCTAATGGTTTGGCAGACTGATGATGCTCAGACATAAGGTAATTGCTTCTTTCTCTCCTCTTTTTTTTTTTAATGCATATCATGTACCAGTAATAATCTATCCTTTTCTCCCAGACTTAATGTTACCAGGTACAAGGCCAGAAGGGACCTTTAAAGGTCATTTAGTCCCCTGCCATGGGCAAATATCTTTTTCATTAGATTAGGTTCCTCAAAGCCCCATCCAACCTGGCCTTGAATACTTCCAAGGATGGGGCATCCCCAGCTGCTCTGGTCGATCTATTCCAGTGTCTTGCCACTCTCATTGTAAACATTTTCTTCCTAATGTTCAGTGTAAACCTACCCTTTTCAGCTTAAACCTATTGTTCCTTGTCCTGTCAGTATAGGCCCTGGTAAAAGGACCTGTCTCTCTTATTAGTCCCCCTTATATATTGAAAGGCTGCCATAAGGTGTTCCCTTCTCTTCTACAGGCTGATCAACTCCAGCTCTCTCAGATTGTCTTCATAGGAGAGATGTTCCATCCCATTGACTGTTTTCGTGGCCCTCCTCTGAACCTGCTATAACAGGTCCATGTCTTTCTTGTACTGTGGGCAACAGAGCTGGACACAGTGATCCAGGTGGTGTCTCAGGAGAGTTTAGTATAGGGGAGAATCACTCTCCTCTTTCTGCTGCTCACACTTCTTTTTATGCAGCCCAGGGTATAACTGGCTTTTGGGGCTGCAAGCGCACATTGCTGGCTTATGTTTAATTTTTGTTCACTGGTACCCACAAGTCCTCTGTAGGGCTGCTCTCAATCCATTCATCCCTCAGTCTGTACTGATATCGGGGGTTGCTCTGACCAAGGCGCAGGACCCTGCACTTGACCTTATTGAACTTCATGAGGTTCACGTGGGTTTCAATGGTGTCCAGGTCCCTCTGGATGACATCTGTTTCTTCCAGCAAACCAAGTGCATCAGTCAGCTTGGTGTCATCTGCAAGCTTGTTGAGGATGTATTCAGTCTTACTGTCTAGTAAAGTGGGTGGCTCAATGTTATATTGGAAATCAGATATTAAATACTATTGATCCCAGTACCACCTGTTACTGATTTCCAATATGACACTGAGCCACCCACTTCATTCTCTGGATGAAGCTATCCAGCCACTTCCTTATCCATCTAACCCACTCCTCCAATTTAGTAGGCAGAATGTTGTGGGGGACCACATCACAAGCCTTACAGAAGTCTAGATAGATTAGATCCAAAGTTCTTCCCTTGTCTACTGATGCAGTCATTCCATTGTAGAAGGTCACTAGATTAGTCAGGTGACTAATAATTCATAGTAGAATATGGAATATGCACTGAGCATATCAACATAGCTGTAATCCCTCTATAGAAGAAATGGGGAGAAACTGAGCCTCCAGCTGGAGCCCTATCCAGGTGAAGTGCTTTGCTTCTTTCCAGAACCCTTAAAAACTTGCATTGGTATTACCTCTCAGGCACTTTAATGCTAAAACCCACCACATTTACATCGTAGTTGTTACCCTGGATAACCCTTGTTCCTACTGGAATCCTCATTCTCTGTTTCAGATTAGTGCTGTTAAGCAGTACTTTTGTCATAATTGTTTTCAGCAAAAAATGGCTTAATTATTATCTTTTGAAAAGATATCTTTGAAAAGACTTATTCCCACCCTCAGAACAGATGTTTCACCTCCTGCATCAATTGCTCGTTTATGGGCTAATGGCTTAAGTTTACAATCAAAAATCAATGTGTTCTTTCTGAATCTATATTGATTAACTACTTTCATGATATTAGACTTTAATTTCCTGTACTCTTTGTCCACCACAACTCCTGAACCCCATGTAGTTTGAACATGTCTTCCAGTGCCTCAAAAGACACAGTCACCTTTTTCCCTCATCCACTTCTAAACTTCCCTGACACTCCTGAAAGTTCAAGGAGACATTTTCAGTTGTGGTGTTCCATCTGTCCGAAACTTATTTCCTCTTCTCCCTAAGCCATTGAATCATTTCTTTAAACCTCACATTAAAATCTCCCTGTTCTCTTTAACCTATAATTCACTTCCACTGGAAAATATTTTTGTGATATCCTTTATGAAGCATGTACAGTAAAAAGGAAATTTTTTGTAGTCTTGTTGAAGCAAGCTAGACTTGAGGTACTAATGTGACTGGATTAAGGGTTCTGTAGAGTCACTCAAGATAGATAGACCCTTGCAGAATCTATTGAACTCTGAGTATTTACACATACTCTCCTGAAAACCTCATAGCTACACCCTTGCAGGCTTATAGGTTGTTGTCTTTCTTGTCGCCTTTGAACTCATAACTTTATTCCTGATATCAGATGACACCATTGATTTATTCTGGGCCCAACACAACTAAATAAAAGGGTGCAGTTCCCTTCTCTCTCTCTTCAATGACCAGTAGCATTTCCCTTATGCTGACTTTAGATACTCACCAAAGAGAACCGGAATAGAAATGAAAAAAAAATTAAAGCACTCCTCTGTTTATCCAACTAAATAAAGGATAAAAATTTCATCAGTGTTTTCTTATCTAAGCAGTCTGTGATAAATGGCAGATTCAAGTGTCTATTATAAACTCCGAGAAAGAAAAACAATTTGATCTTAGATTGGTTCTATCCAATTCACTGAAAGGATGAAGAGAGGCAAACGCACAAAGCCAGATGGTCTACACAGTGAAGGTGAGTTCTGGGAAAGATTTATATGAAAATTAATAGAACAGTGTTGCACAAACCACATCATCCAGAAACTTATGCAAATGGTCTCAATTTATAAGGTTGGTATTCCTCCTCATTCACAATGCACTTATCATAGTAGAAGGCCATTTAAATCTAACTTGTTTAGTTCAGCTATGCATTTTATATTCATGATCAGTTTTATGCCACAGAATAGTCTTGGTATGGAACATTTAACCCTTTTTCTTTAACTGATGCTTTAATTTTGGATATTTATTTTCAAGCTTTTTGTACTCGTCAAAGTACCAGAAATGGAAGAAAACTCTAGTTCACATTCACATGACTCCAGTGTTGTAACTTGAAGGAAACGTGAAATATTTAAGGTTTGCAATATATTTTTCAATGTTGATGGTAAATTTTTTGGAATACGTTAAATTCTGAGCATGCATAAAGACACTGCACATGTGGACACACATTTTCTGCATATAGGAGATCACAGCAATAGAAACACAGACAAAAATATTAATGTACTTCTCTTAGCACCACAGTAATGCAATATGGATGGTAGCAAAGAATACAAGTGAAATCTTTCCATATTCTGAGTAACTGCTGGTATATGAGGGAACAGATAAGAGGAAACAGACTTTGCAGAAGCAGGTGCAGATTCAGTGGAGTTACCAGAGACAAGGGGTAATGGCTTTAAACTGAAAGAAAATAGGTTTAGATTAGATACTAGGAAAAATTCTTTACTATAGTCTGGTGAGAACCTGAAACATGTTGCCCAAAGAAGTGGTGGATGCCTCATTCCTGGAAGTGTTTAAGATAGGTTGGATGGGGCTTAGAGCAACTTGGTCTAGTGGCAGGTGTCCCTGCTGGGCTGGAACCAGACAATCTTTAAGCTCCCTTTCAACTCAAATCATTCTATCATTCTAAGATTTCCTGATTTTCATCTGACATGAAAATATGGTTGTGAATGGGAAAATCTTTTCAACTCCTGTCTGTCTCTGAAATGTATACAAGCTTAAAGTGAATTAATAGTTGATTTTGACAGTAATATTGTTACGCAAATCTATTTCTAACAGAAGGTATTCTGAATGATGGCTTTAAGAGTTGCTGTTATTCTTTCTTTATAGAACTACAAATGGCAAAACCCCCACAAAGTCAGAGAATGAAATGAGGATTAAATTAATACTGGATTGTGCCAGAGTACAGCCATACTGAGTCTTTGTATGAGAGGTAGCTGAATAAGGAAAGAAATGGATTAAAAATATTAATTAAAGTCCAAATTCTTACTTTCATATTGGAGACCTCAGTTCATTATTTCTTACCATACCATCACACTTCAACTTCATCACTTCAACACCATCAACTTGTAGTTGGACTACAACTTCTAGCAGGCATATAGATAACAGATAGGCACTCCAGCAACAATGGTTAATAACAATAATGAGTAACTAAAATAAATCATGGCTTTGTTGAGAAGGTCCAATGTATATAGGAAAGTTATGCCTAGCATTTACTCTAACTTTAAATTCCTCTAATAGTGAGGATGTTGTAATTTCTTAAACTGACTCTACTTCTTGGAAGTTTGTATTGTCATGCAGTTAAGGATCATATTGACTTTCAGCTTTTGTAGGTAGTTACCAGTTGTATTGCAGGTGTCCCAAAAGCATAAGTTAATATAAAATGTTACAGAAGAAAATTAATCCAAGATAAGATTTCTATTTGCTTCATGAGCAATATAGTTTGGAGCGCCGTTTTGTTTGGTTTTTTTTATACATGCACATCAGAATAAGCAAATGAAATTCAGTACTTACTCCTGTTATGTAACGAGGTCTATACTGAATGGTTCCAAATAAGCCAAGTATGACTACAATAATGTGTATAAAATTTGCCAGGATAGGTGCCCACTGATAACCAAGGAAGTCAAATATCTGCCTCTCGAGCACAGAAACCTATGATTAAAAACAAAAACATAAATATATTAGAACAAACCAGAAAACTATGAATATGAGTGTATTTCCCCTTCCCCTACCCAAGATAATTACCCTGAGTTAAAAAATAGTTGCCAGCCATAAAATGAAATGAGTTTGCAATGTTTCACCTTCTTGTTTTAATGAAAGCTGCATTTCTCACTGTTTACAAAGTTATATTCAGTTAGCTAAAATATTCTTGTGGGCAATTCTACCAAGGCACTATACTGTTCACTAGGATGATATGTTTGCAGGAGGAGAAACACAAACACTTTGTTATATATAACAGCAAATGCTATAATGTTCTAGGGTATTGGTGCTGAAAATAAGTGACAGGCTTATGACATCTCAGCTACATTGTTTCCACTTACAACACCATCCTTTAGCCTAGTCCTGTCTCTTTACTTCCACCTTTCCCTGTATTTTGATTTTTTCCTCTTCCCTCTATCCCAGCTATTCTTTCAGTAATCAAATGAACACAACTTTCTGACCTGGTTCTCCTGATAATGACTCTAGTTTACCTCCTTCCACTGTCATAAACATCAGCTGAAGTATAAGCTCTTCCCCAAGACTCCAGATAAATAATTTAAAAAATTAATTAAGGGACAATCTCAGGTTGATGATTACTGTTTTCAAGCAATACCATTACAAACAGATAGATCAGACACTAGACAAACTGTCTTTCTAAGAGTATCAGTAGTAATAATTTCAGAATTCCATTAGTAGATTTCCCTTAACCGATGTTTGGACATTATGTCAAAATACAGTACTCTAGCCCAACCCATAGGCAGAATGGCATGTTTTGACAAAAATAATATTTATGCTAATATTAGAAGGCAGTTTAGTGGTAAATTTAGATAGAAAGACTAAGGAGTTTCTCTGATACCATTCCAAAAATTTCACTAACTGGAATGGTGAATAGATGAGCTTCATGAAAGTGTGAAGAATAATAGAAATAAAAGAAAGAGAAAAATACTGATAATTATTAACAATAATAATTAAAATAACAACAATGTGAACACTACACATAAAAAAAAAGAAAGAGTGAGCAGGTTGTTTCTTGATTAAGTTTCATTAAATGACAGCTGATTGTTTACTGAGTTTATGGTACACTGTGGATTAACTGAATTAGTTTATTTGTCACAACTCCATTCATTTAAAAAATATCACCTTTTGAGATGAAGTAGTAAATGAGTAGTAAATGAGTAGTAAGTGAGAACTGTTCACCACTGTTCTTGCAACAATATAGTTATGGGAGAATTTTTCAATTTTCATGCCACAGTCCACTACCACAGCAACACTTTCATCTCAAAATTAAGTAAGAAAACTTTCTATTAAAAAGACAGCCTACATTTACACCAGCATTGCAAATGTAAAGACTGTTAATTATATAGTATGTACTGGCATATGCTGAACTTTAAAAGAAAGACTGTCAAAATAATCCTGGGGAAGTTTGTCAGCCATGTAATTTCAAATTTGAGTGTTCAGGTTTCATGTTAAACATTGAATTTCTTTCTACAACAAAGACCCCTTTCACACGATGCATCCCACTTACAACCAGTCTTGGTATTTTACCTACCATTTTATTTTACATATTTACTGACAGAAATAGATTCTGTTCCTACATCATCCAAAATCTTTATGAACTGATTTTTGCTATCCTACCACTCTCCACAGCAGAGGAACATCATACAAGATTTCCCAGAATCCCAAGACGTCTAACAGTGATGTAAGTAAATGTGATGGAAGAAATAAAAGGAAGATCAAGCTGCATTAGAAACTTCATGAAAACTCAAACTGCCAGTGCTTCTAAGTTTATCATTAAGAAATATTTCCTTGACTACAGATACAGTCATTTATATATATAAAAAAGGTCAACATGTGGCATAAAGCAGTATTATGTAGGTTACTGTGAAGTCTGTTAAGCATACCAGCAAAAGACCTTTTACACCATAAGTGCTGTTAAACAGGTAACAAAGGGAAAATGCTCACTCTGAGCAGAGCTCTTATTTTCATCAGCTAAACAAAGAGAAAATGAGAATAGCAAAGCAGTAGCAAAAAGAGTCTAGACTGTACAAGCTTCTAGTGTAATAACAGTAGAGATTCAGCAAGAAAAAAACCAATACACGGGAAGATGCAAATCATTAAAACAGCAGGAGATCATACAGTTAAGTATCCCAATTATAGAGGAAAATTGCAGCATGCTAGTTAATTATATGAAAAGTAGAAAAACTCATATCCCTGCTACAACCTTTAGGTTAAAAGGAAACTGCAGTATCATGTATCAACATGTTTTGTTTTGTTTTGCTTGGTGAAAGGTGAAAGATGCAGTTCCACCAAAACTTGCTTATGAGAGTGTTGAATAAATGGATATTCTGTAAGAATCTTTTATTTCTACAAATCAACATGCCTTTTTTTTTTTTTGGTGACTAGTAATTTCTTTAGTACCGGTTAGATTTTCTCCTTTCACTCCAAAGAATCAGCTGTGTGCGGGACTGCTCCATATGTGAAATGGCAGCATTCTGGTAGGCTGTCCACAGATGAAATGCTGTGGGAATGCAGCTGCTCTTCTGTAGAAGATCAGACTAGTGCAGCAAGATACATCGTGGATTTATCAAATGGAAAATATAGGACAGAACTATATCTTTATTCCCACTTCCTGAAGAGATGAAGGTGTGAAGACAATAAAACCAATGCACAAACAAACATAAAAATAATACAAACTTTCTACATGAGTTACTTAAAAAAATTCATTTGGTCTGTGTTTCTAAAAGGGGAAAATTAGGAAAAAGTAGTGACAAAAGTTATTAAAAACTTAAATACAGTATTATGTTGCTTCCTTCTCTTCCATAGATGTCAGAATCATAAGGGATTTCCTTACATAGCAAGAGAAAATATAGACCTGATTTTGAAAGCTCTGCATTCCTTTACTTCAAAAACTTGAAATTTTTGGTTAAAAAAAACTTCAATTCTTTTTTCAAATCATACCCACCAGCTTCAAATGTTTAATGATGTTTCAATGATACTACAGAGAGAAAGGAAAGAAGTGACAAAGTAATATTAATCTTTAAAGTCAAGGAATAGATTTAGAATTTTCTGTTTTCTTTCTTCTTCCTCAGGTTGTTGGTATTGGTATCTCTATCACTGACATGGACAGTGGGATTTCCTACATCATCACCGAGTCTGCTGATGACACCAAGCTGTGTGGTGCGGTTGACACACTGGAGGGAAGAGATGTCATCCAGAGGGACCTTGACAGGCTTGAGAGGTGGGTCTCTGCAAACCTCAGAAAGTTCAACAAGGCCAAGTGCAAGGTGTTGCACCTGGACTGGGGCAATCCCAAGGAGAAATACAGGCTGGGCAGAGAATGGATTGAGAGCAGCCCTGGGTAGATGGACTTGGTTTTGGTGTTTGCGGACAAGAAGCTCAACGTGACCTGGCAATGCGCACTTGCAGTCCAGAAAGCCAACTGTATCCTGGGCTGTATCAAAAGAAGCATGACCAGCTGGTAGGTCAAGGAAGGTGATTCCTCCCCTCTACTCTGCTCTTGTGAGATCCCACCTGGAATACTGCATCTGGCTCTGTGGTCTTCAGCACAAGAAAGATGTTGAGGGCCACTAGGTTGATCAGAGGGTTGGAGCACCTCTCCTGTGAAGACATGTTGCGAGAGTTGAGGCTGTTCCGCCTGGAGAAAAGAAGGCTTCAGGGATACCTTACAGCAGCCTTCCAGTACCTAAAGAGGGCTTACAAGAAGCCTAGTGAGGGACTTTTTGAAAGGGCCTGTAATGACAGGACAAGGGGAAATGGCCTTAAGCTGAAGGCAGGTAGGTTTAGATTATACATTAGGAAGAAATTCTTTACTGTGAGGGTGGTGAGGCACTGGAACAGATTGCCCAGAGAGGCACCCATCCCCACAGGTCTTCCAGGCTGGGTTGGATGAGGCTCTGAGCAACCTGGCCTAGTGCAAGGTGTCCCACCCTGATAGCAGCGTTGGAACTAGATAATCTTTAAGGTCCCTTCCAACCCAAACTACTCTATGATTGCATGATTCTTTTGGAAACAAGAGTTTAAAATGAGAATGGGAAAGAGGAAAAATGGATCCTTTGGATGAAAAAGTATAGTACGGTTAGAAAAGAAAAATATGTTTTAATTCAACTCCATTTTAATAATGCAGTGAACCCAAAATGTAAGTCAGTTCCTAATGTTAGAAAATAAACACACAAATCATCATCTTCTTAGGCTCCCAAATAAATAAAATATGATAGATTACTTTATGTATTCACTGATAAAATTATAGAAGAGCCTATTTAGAGGGAACCATTTTACTAATGCATTATTTTTCCCCAAACTTCTGCTAACTGTTTTAAAAATGAATACAAAATAAAAGCAACTCATATACTGTCAAGTTGGAATAGCTGAAACTATTTCCAGATTCTTGTCAGAGTCTTGTTGTTAATAGCTTAATAGTGTTACTGACTTTGAGGGATCTAAGAATTGAATTTCCAGTGGAAAATGAAAACCATTTGGAGATGATTCTTCAAGTATATGATTGGACTAGAATTCCAGACAGGAACTACAAAGGACAAACCAGTCAAAAGATGATTTATAATACAAACTCCAAAATGGAAAATGATTAAGTGTCTTTGCTCAGAAAGCTCCTTGAGAAAAACTCAACCATGATACAGAATCTAAACTCTGCACTGATATAAATTACAGTACACACGGGCGTACACACAAAAGTGAGTCTGTACAGCTCCAGCCAGCCATGGCCCTTGGGCAGTAAACATTGCACAGAGGCACTCAGCATGCTGGGGCTTGGGGCAGGGTCCCACTGAACTGATGGACTCACCAGCTGAGTGATGGTAACAGGCTCTCAGTTCACTCTAAAGGAAGAAAAGAGTATTATCTTAAATTGCATTGTAGGAGAATTAAACAACTGTGGTTTATATCATTGACTGGTGCAGGCTAAGAATGAGATAAAG